ACACCTGGAAGAGACATTGATGTTTACTTGCAACCATTAATAGAAGAATTGAAGAATTTGCGGGAACATGGTGTGCAAACATATGATGCATCGAACGGGCAAATTTTTAGAATGCATGCGGCGATAATGTGGACCATAAATGACTTCCCTACGTACGGTAACATGTCAGGGTGGAGTACAAAGGGTTACTTGGCTTGCCTTAATTGTAACAATAATGCATCGTCCTAGGGATTACAAAGTAAAATAGGGTATATGGGTGCTCGTCGCCACTTGCCTGAGAACCACACTTGGTGAACAAGTAAGCTCTTCAATGGTCAAACGGAGCATAGGTCCAAACCTTTGGACTTATCGGGGGACCAAATACAAGAGAAAATTGATTCTAGGACTTACAAGCCGTATGGAAAGCACCCACAAAATCGAAAATGACAAAGGAATGAACATTAAAATTTGAATTGGAGCAAGAGAAGCATTATGTTTGACTTGCCCTATTGGAAAACGTTGAAGCTTCGACACAACCTTGATGTCATGCATATTGAAAAGAATATATGTGACAATGTCGTTGGGACACTTTTGAGCATATATGGAAAGAACAAGGACACAGACAAAGCACGCTTAGATTTGAAGGACATGAAACTACGTAAAGAGTTACACTTGAAGAGGCGTTCTAATGGGTCCTTTGAGAAGCCTACCGCATTGTACACATTGTCTATGAAAGAGAAAGAAGGCTTTTGTGATTTCTTGAAATCAATGAAGTACCCTAATGGCTATGCAGCAAATATCTCCAATTGCGTGACTGCTCAAGCTGGAAAATTATCTGGCCTCAAAAGTCATGACAGTCATGTCCTTATACAACGACTTCTTCCAATTGGGATGCGTGGCTACCTTAATATGGAAATCGGAAAGACACTGTTTGAGTTGGGAAATTTCTTCAAACAATTATGTTCAAAGACATTGAGGCGTTCAGATTTGCAGAAATTGGATGAACAAATCGTACTCATACTTTGTAAGCTTGAGCATGAGATAAACAAATCGTGAGTTGAATGCAATGACTGGCAAGTATGCCACTCCAGCAACTAACGAGTTAGGAATTCTATAGCGATCTCGGTATTCCCTGTTGTTGTATATCTATAATCTGGACTCAGTTCCGTAGATTCGTTGTTGTCTTATCCTCATTTCTATCCCTTACTCTTTGTTTTAGAGTTTTGGGTTGTGTTGGGCAAGTTGGGAATTAGTTGGTTGTGTTTTAAAGCTTTGAAAATTTTGCCCAGGTTTTGGTCTCTCCGCTCGAGCGGCGGTTTTACGCTCGAGCGGGCTTTTGTTGCTGCCTTTCCGCTCGAGCGGCAGTTTGGACGCTCGAGCGTGATTTTCCATCTTCCAGTACTTTACTCTGCAGTTAGTCCGCTCGAGCGGTAGTTTTTACGCTCGAGCGTGATCCTTTGATTTTTGTCCATACGCTCGAGCGGGGAGTTTTACGCTCGAGCGGAGAGTAGACTGCAAAACTTCTGGAAGTGTGCAACCAGTGCTCGAGCGGCTCTTTTCACGCTCGAGAGTGAGTCTGTGTCTTACGCTCGAGCGGGGTTTTCTACGCTCGAGCGGAGAGTCGACTACATCAGTCCGTGATTTCACTTTTTGGATCACTTTTTGACCTACTTATTTTCCCTAACTCTTAAAAACCGCCACTTGAGAGTTTCTCTCTCTACTCTCACCTTCTCTCTAAGATTTGATCTATTCCCTGTGGTCTTCTACCCTAGTTCCTTTGGAAGAAAGGTAGAGCTTCGCAAGAGCTTTGTTTTAATCTGAGAAACTTGGGATTTAGAGCACGTGGGTCTTTGGTCTTCATCTCCGTCTTCCCTATTCGAGGTAGGGATTCTCCTTGTTCTTTTTCAATAATACCGTCTATAGATAGACATGTGGTAATTTTGTATTGCATAAAAAAAATCATATCCATGTTGGATTTGCTTGAAATCATCGGAAGGAACCTAGGGTTGGGTATTTAAAAATGGTTATGTTATCATTAAGAGTTGTTTTGGGCTAATTGGAGTGTAAATTAGCATGCTGTAGTTGATAAAGGAAAAAGGCCTAAATCATATTTTGATTGATAAATTAAAATGGAGAATAATGAACCTAAATTGTAACTCTCTATTGTTGATGTGAGTGGGTGAAGGTGTTAATGCCTAAGGGGTTAAATTTGGCTTTGAAATGGGTTTGAAATGTATGTAGTGTACTAATGTGAGTTATGGCTTCCTTATTGGTAGAAATCGGTTTTTGTAAAATAAAAGGGATGGGTTTGGTTTTGTGACAACTAAAGAGACGGAGTTGGTTTTGTTAAAACAAAGAGGGAAGTGGAACTTGTTTTGTGAAATGGAAAAAGTGTTTTGAAATACGTAATGAAAACATTGAATTCTATTTCATTTGAGTGTTGAACACACACAGTGGTTTGTATATCTTGAAACTACCATGTTAATGTTGTTGTCGGGTTTGTGGTCTCATAGTAATTGAGTCTTTAATAGGTGTACTAAATATTTGCATCTAGAGGTTTTATCCTTGGGCATCGGTGGAGGATGACGTGGTTGTGTTGAATTGCTGTGTATGTAATACACCATTGTTGATTGAACATTATATTTTAATGAAATACTGAATTACATATATATTGTATACTGGTTTGGGAGAAGAAGAGGGTTGGTACTCCAGTGTGTGTGAGAAGATAGGGGATGGACTCCACACACTTATGTGTTCAGCGCTTATAATCAAAGGTATCATACCCTTCCAGCTAGCGCCTGCAGAACTGACGCGCTGATAATCTAAGGTACCATTACCCTTCCAGCTAGCGCCTGGAAAACTGGTAGATTGTGTGAGAAGTGCATCTTTGGCTTACTACGCATAAGCTAGTAGTGCAGTGTTGTTTTGTTTATTGTTTCAGTGTATCTGGAAACATTGTGGATTGTATTTGTTACAGTGTTGGAGGGACGAGTTGACTCATTGATTGATTTTATGTATGTAGTTTGAGTTGTTATTTTTTTATAGAGGTGTGTGCATGGATAATTATGATATAATTGGAATTGCATTAAAATGCCAAATATGTTTTGAAAAAGGCACATCTGTTGTATGGGTGGCAAATGGAAGAGTAATGGGCTTAGTGGAATCATGTTTTCTAAGTATAGTTATTTAATGTTATGAAAGATTGGGAACAAGGATTAATGAAAAGAAAAGAAAATTTGAATCGCCTATGGCGTTGATTGAAAATGTTGTTTTCAAGAAAAGTTCATATATATATTCTTATATATATTTTGTATAAACTGTCACATTATTATTCTAGTATGAGAATGGGTGTTCATGATCATAGCTATCTGTAATGTTGTTATTGTTAAGGAGCATGTTGAGTTACCTACTGGACTATATGTTCATCCCACGTTGTTGAATCTTTTTTTCAGGTGTTTAGCAGGGTGTGCTACAAGATTTGGATCTTCGTATATGTTGGCCACGGGGCCTTAGTTATGTTGGCGGAATGCCATTGTTGTAAAGGGTTACACCCTTCTTCTTGTACTTTTAATGATGTAAGCCCAAGGGCAATTTATTAAGTTAGTTCATGTAATGTTTACTTTGCATACGAATGAGAGTATTGTTAATCATTTCTACGGATTGAATGTATGAGTTTATTTCGCATGTTATCACTGAAAGTGGATTAAGTTAGAGAATTTGGTAATGACTCCGAGTAATAAAAAGTGGGGCGTGACAAATTCAAATTAGGACCTTGTGCCCTGTGCAAGATGTCAAGTCATGGTTGGATCTGGATGAGACTACAAAATCTGCCGTCATCCAAGCTGTTCTTGTAACTGATATTACTTGTCCACAAGATGTAATTGTATTATGTATGCTTATAAGAAAGACTTTTATTTAATTATTACAATTTCCATTTGTTATGCTTGTAGGACAAGTTTGAAATTGGAAACGATTTCCACAATGACTTATAAGCACAACAAATTGTGAATAAGAAGGCCTATGGGTTGTACAAAGATTGGAGGTACACCTTGAAGCAAGAATTCAAATTGTTAGATGGACTTCCACGTGATGAGATCTATGCTCATCCGCCTCTAGGGGTGAGTTTAGATGATTGGAAGCATTTGATCGATGTGGCATGGCAAGATGCATCTCACCAGGTAAAATAATAGACTAGATAGAGTACATACATCTATGCGAAAATGTGATATGCCTTAATATTTACCAAAAATTGTTTATCTGCTTGTCTTATTTTTAGAAACGGTCAAAAGCTCGCAAGAGTAATAGAAGTCAATTGCCGTACAATCATACCGATGGCTCTCGCTCATTTCCTATCGCAATGGATGCTATGGTAAGATTGATTTTATTTAAAATTAAATCCATTATATGTTGTTTGGATATGAAAATGATATGTTGTGATTTTTTGGGGCAATTATGGCTATATTGGTACTGTTTCTAAACTATAAAGCAAAAGAAGAAGAGCTATGTTTCCATTTCTCGCGTTTTTTTCTACTCTCTAGGTAAGTAGTTGTATTGAAATTGTAAATGAAACACATAATAGAGCTCATATACCAAAAAATAAAAAATAAATAAATAAAGGCCAAAATAAGTATGTTTTCAACACCACAGGTTGTTGCTGTCTGCAAAAACTCTGTCTACAAATCTGCCTGAAAAAAATAAGTACACATAATAACTATACAAATCTGTCTTCAAAAAAAAAGTATACAAACTCTGTCTAAAAATCTGTCTGCAAACTCTGTTTTGAACATCTGCTGTCTGGAAAAAAACTATCTGAAAAAAATCTATTAAGGATACCAAAATCCAATCTCCACTTGTTTCAGCTGTTACTGAATAGCACTAGTAAGGAAAGTGAGCATGAGTTAACTTTTTGTCACCTTCACTATTTAGTTGGCAACTGATAAAATGTGAATGACTTCCATAGCTAATTGATGAGCATTATTGTTTTGGAGCCTTGCAAGTTCACCAAAGCCTCATTAGTCTCTTTAAAGAGCTTCAAGTTTATCCAGTGGACCTTCCCATTTGTCAACCAATTCCTGGAGTTTCTCAAATCCCTGACACAAATAATTGTATTCTACATTAACCCCTAGCCTAAATTGTCTATAATCCCACATCAAGATTTGTAATGGTGTGAAGACAATAGAGACAAATCCAACAATCTCTTATGCAGTTAGAATTTTAAATACCTGAGGGGTTCTGAGACCCAATAAAAAGTGAAATTCAGGTACATAAAAACGTTAAATACCTGATAACAATTAGGACTATCACCAACTAATCCAAGTTCCGCCATGTAGGGTGTAGCACAACCATTAGGACAACCAGTTATCATTATCACTATAGATTCATTATATTCAAGACCAACCTGAAATCATAAAAGTCCATCTGGTTAACAAGCATCATTACCCAACCTAACAATATGACCTTAATCGAAAACCATTTCCAGCTACTTTGCTGGATTTGTTAATACTTGTAGCTTCATTAATATACCTTCTCAAATACAGCATGAACCCACTTTAGGATGTCAGGTATTCCACGCTCAACTTCAGTTATTGCCAGAGGGCAAAGTGGAAAAGCTGGGCATGCCATTGCAGTTACGTTGAGGGGATCTACATCCCTAGGATGCTGCCCACGATTAGCAGTGTAAGAAATTCTGCTTTTTTAGCTCTTAAACAGTTCATAAGCCAAAGGCAAAAAAAGGAAGAAAAGTCTTCATCAACAAAATACACCTCCATTATCCATCTAACTCTAAAGAACATGATCTGAGTTAACAAATTCAATAAAAGACTTCAATTACAATTGAGTAGAAAAAGGTTTCAGAATGAAGGTCACAAACTAGTTGATCCTACATATCATACAAATTCGACAAGTGGATCCTTTTTTCTTTTTTTTTTTGGCTACAAACTTAGGGCCTGTTTGGTGCAGGTTTTTGTAAGCTAAAAGTTGTTAATCAAAATGCAAAAGCCAAAAGCACCCCTCTTCCAAATTCAAGATGATAATAAAAAAATAAAAATAAATAAAAAATAAAAAAAAATCATTTTATTTAAGCTATTTCTTCCTAATAAGTTGTAAGCTTCAAACAGTTTGACACAAACTCACAAAAAAAAAAATGAAAAATAATAATAATAATAATAAACTATAAATGGACCATGGAAAGCACAAACATTGAAATGAACTTGTTCATAGCTAGATGAAATAAACTGGGATATCTCTATTTCTGCATTTCTATGGCTGCCAAGAGAATGACAGAAAAAGTCTACACCACTCCACAAACATGAAAGCAAACCTGTGAAGTAGTTCCCTAACAATCTTTCAAATGTGAAAATAAAAATTTAAAACATTTGTGAATATTTTATCAAGTGTGACAATTAATTACAGAGTCCCTTTAGTTGGCTTCAGTCAAGAATACCTCTCTACTCAGAATCTACTTTTTACTTGAGAAAATCTTCCTCAGGACTAAATTCTATCAAACTTAACATTGGAATGGAAAAATAACTGCCAAATTTACATCAAACTGAAACTCCTAATGGCAGTGGAACTTCTAACACATTAAGCTCCTGCACATCGAAGCGTCATCAGCTAATATTAATTTATTCCATAACATCCATACTAACATTGAACCATGTAGTCATGTTGACAATCAGTCTCAACACTAGCGAAAACATATATACTCCTATTTGGATGAAAAAGGACATAACTATCTTAATTCATCACATCCATAAGAATGCATAACAAAAATTTTAAATGTCTTACCAGCAGACCACCCTGTGCAAGAGCTGTGGTAATCGGGTCCCTCCATTCTTGGCCAATATCACACAAGATCATGTTCTGGTTTGGTGTGATTCGCACATTCAAGTTGTACTTCTCAATAATTTCCCTTAATGTCTTCTTCATCGTCCCCTTAATACGACCATTATCAACATGGAGCCCACAAAATAAACCACCATCACCCTGCAAAAACATTTAAACAATCATAAATACACAGCAAAGAAAAGTCTCGTCATTTTTCAATACATGAAGGACGGCAGTTTTTATGGATTTGATGAACCGGATCTTCCGGGAATTCTTGGATCTGTTTGTAGTCGTTTTCGTGGACGACATTCTTATCTATTCGCCTTCTGAGGAGGAGCACGAGGAACACTTGAGAGTGGTGCTTGAGTTGCTTAGAGCCCATAGGCTGTATGCCAAGTTTGGGAAGTGTGAGTTCTGGCTAGGAGAGGTCAAATTCTTAGGCCATGTGGTATCCGGGGAAGGGGTATCTGTAGATACATCCAAGGTAGAGGTAGTGCAAGATTGGGCACAGCCTAAGAGTGTGTTTGAGATCCGCAGTTCTCTGGGATTAGCTGGGTATTACCGTCGGTTTGTGAAAGATTTCTCCAGGCTAGCTTCGCCGTTGACGAGATTGACGCGAAAAGGGTTCAAGTTTGTGTGGAGAGAGACTTGCGAAAAGTCGTTCCAAGAGTTGAAGGTTAGATTGACCACCGCTCCGGTTTTGATTATTCCGGAGAGAGGGTTGGGTTATGCGGTTTACTGTGATGCCTCACGAGAGGGTTTGGGTTATGTATTGATGCAAGAGGGGAAAGTGGTAGCTTATGGCTCACATCAGTTGAAAATTCACGAGAAGAATTACCCTACACACGACCCAGAGTTAGCAGCAGTGATCTTTGCCTTGAAGATTTGGAGGCACTACCTTTATGGTGAGAGGTTCGAGGTGTTCTCGGATCACAAGAGTTTGAAGTACCTGTTTACACAGAGAGACTTGAATTTGAGGCTGTGGAGATGGATGGAATTCATTGAGGACTATGATTTTGAGTTGCACTATCACCCGGGAAAGGCCAATGTTGTGGCTGATGCCCTTAGTAGGAAATCCATTAGTGATGTAGCTTGTATAGCCATCCAGGAATGGGAGATGTTGAGTGCACTTGGCGAGTTTGACTTGTTTCTGAGTGAATCAGCTGAGGCTGCGGCCTTGTTTTCTGTTGTTGCGCAGCCTACACTTGTGACCCGAGTGTTAGAGGCACAGAGAGGTGACCTTGAGGTAGAATCCCTCTGAGAGAAGATCTCAAATGGAAAAGTTGAGAAGGGTTTGACGGTGTATCCCGACCTGAGTGTGAAATACCGAGACCGTTTATTTGTGCCGGAGTCTTGCCGAGAGGAAGTACTCCGAGAGTTCCATCATTCACTCCTTGCGGTGCATCCGGGAGGCACTAAGATGTATCGGGATTTGGGTCGCCAGTTTTGGTGGCGGGGTATGAAGAGAGATGTGGCTGTGTTCGTATCGAAGTGCCTTACTTGTCAACAAGTGAAGGCCGAGCATCAGAGGCCAGCGGGTTTGTTGCAACCCTTGCCTATTGCCGAGTGGAAGTGGGAGCATGTCACTGTGGACTTCGTTGTAGGTCTTCCGAGGACTCAGCGGGGTAGTGATGCCATTTGGGTGGTTGTAGACCGGTTGACTAAGTCGGCGCACTTCATTCCTATGCGCGTGCGAGATTTGGTAGGTCATCTTGCTGACTTGTATATTCGGGACATAGTGAGATTGCACGGGGTCCCAGTGATGATCGTCTCAGATAGAGATCCTCGTTTTACTGCTAGGTTGTGGCAGAGTTTGCAGAGTGCCTTGGGCACTAGGTTGACCTTTAGTACGGCTTATCACTCTCAGACTAACGGGCAGTCCGAGCGTACTATTCAGATCCTTGAGGATATGCTTCGAGGTTATGTCCTTGACTTTAGTAGGACGTGGGAGAGGCACTTGCCCTTGGTGGAGTTTGCCTACAACAACAGTTTTCAATCTAGCATCGGTATGGCACCGTTTGAGGCCTTGTATGGCCGACCGTGTAGGTCTCCAGTGTGTTTGGCCGAGGTGGGTGATGCACCTTTGTTGGGTCCGGAGTTGGTTAGGGAGACGACGGAGAAAGTTGAGCTTATTCGTAGGAGGTTTGTTACAGCCCAGAGCTGCCAAAAGAGTTATGCCGACCGTAGAAGGAGGCCTTTGGCGTTTGAGGTAGGTGACCATGTCTTCTTGAAAATATCACCTAGGCGAGGTTTGATGAGGTTCGGGAAGAGTGGGAAGTTATCCCCTCGGTTTATTGGTCCCTTTGAGATCCTTGAGAGGGTTAGCGAGGTTGCTTATCGTTTAGCCTTACTGCCGCAGTTGTCCGGAGTGCACGACGTGTTTCATGTGAGTATGCTTCGGAAGTATGAGCCGGATCCGTCCCATGTGTTGGATTGGACCGACTTGGAGGTAGATGAGGACGCCTCGTATGAGGAGAGACCGGTTCGGGTCTTGGATAGGCGGGATCAAGTCCGGCGTGGCAAGACCATTCCTTTGGTGAAGGTTTTGTGGAAACATTACGGAGTGGAGGAAGCCACTTGGGAACGTGAGTTGGAAGTCCGCGAGAAATATCCGAACTTGTTTGTTGATGTGTAACCATGTATTGGTAATTTTGTAATATCGTTGAACTTTATGAACATTGTATGTGTCTTAAGTTGTAAAACATTGTGGATGTTTTGGTTAATGGAAATTTGTTATAACATTGCATATGTTCAATGTATTGTGGAAATGCAGGCATGATGATAATGTTGCATATATTATGGAATTGTGGAAAATGAGTTGAAATTGGTAAATTTCAAAAGAATGCATGTTGATAATGCAGGTTGTTATGAATAATGTGATATGCCTCTTGAAAAGAGATGGGATTGACCGGTAATGGATCGGGTTGTTTAATATTATGTTGTAATATTGTTGAGGATGGAGAAAACCTATTTTTGAAAAACTTGTGTTTAATTTCGGGGACGAAATTCTTTAAGGGAGGGGAGGTTATAGCGATCCCGGTTGTCCCTTTACTGTTCTGTTGTATTTCGGACTCAGTTCTGTGGAGTTGGTAGTTGTATCTATCTTGTTGTCATCCTTTAATTCCATTTGTTCGGGTTTTAGGATGTATTGGGCAGAGTTGTTATAGGTTGGTTAGGCTTTGGTTTCAATTATTTGTTGCCTAGTTTTTAGGAGGTCCGCTCGAGCGGGTCTTCTTGCGCTCGAGCGGAGATTGCACGCTCCCAGTATTTTGGTGCTCTGCAGAACTTCTGCAGGCATGTTTTTTACGCTCGAGCGGGTTTTTTTGTGCTCGAGCGGTGGAGCTCGAGCGGGTAGTACTTTTTGGTGTAAGTTCTGGGAGGGAGAAATCTACGCTCGAGCGGACTGGTTTTCGCGCTCGAGCGGATGTACTTTATTCTTGTGTCTTGGCGCTCGAGCAGGTCTTCTTGCGCTCGAGCGGAGAT